TAATAGGTGAGGATAGTTGGTAGCCCTGGTCATGAGCTTTCCGTCTATCATCAAAAAGTTGTGTGTTTTGAGCAAAGTGACCAACGTATCTTTTTCACAGCTACAAAACTATGCGCAAAAACGTTTCACATGAAAACTTTTTCACAAATAAATTTCCTTTCATTTGAGTATTGATTTTATGTGAAGTGATGAAAAATATTTTCCCTTCACGTTTTCACCGAACAAGAATTGGCTCCAAAGCAATATTGAAACTTTTCGATCAAGTCCGACTATGCCTATGTTTATTTTCTTCTAATTTTTGCATTTCATTATAAACTTGAATATGCATACATAAATACATATGTATGTACATATTTACAACACTAGCAGTAATTTGAAAGAAAAAAATCGCATACTAATTCCATTGCTTTGTATGTATTTCTGTATCATTTCAGCAGTGAGCACACAATGTCTACATTTCCTTTCATATCCGATGCGGAACCGCATCATCGTACGTTACAGTTGTCATTCCAGAATCTAAACGTGCTCCATAATGAACGCCAAATTCTCTCTGATGTGAATGGCTTAGTAAGGTAACAACTGAACTACAAACATACTGCCACATTTTACCTACATACGTATAAACAATAATTTTTTATTTTTTTCTCTATTTTTTTCTTCCTTCCTTCTTACTGCACTTTAATATTTTTACTCGCACCATCCTATGTTGCTCTGTTCTTCGTACTCCATTACCCACATCCATCTATGGATGCATCTACTACTGCATATATCTGCCCCATTCAACGATATGACTTCATTTTCCATTGCGATTATATTCTGGTTTGTCTTCTTGTTGATGTTATGCATTTGTTCTGGCCTCTTTTCCACTATGCATGCAGCCCTGGCGAAGTTTTAGCCGTAATGGGCCCATCTGGTAGTGGGAAGACCACATTGCTCGACTGCCTCAGCGGACAGCGACGCTTCGATAGTGGCGGCGTTTATCTGAATCGCGAACCACTCTCGAAAAAGTGGCGCCGCAAGATCTGCTATGTGCTCCAAGAGGAAATCTTCTTCTCTGGGCTAACCCTCAGAGAGACTGTTATGTATACGGCTCTGCTGCGACTGCCAGATAAAATGTCGAAAGCGGAGAAAATCAAGTCGGTTGATCGTATACTGGAAGCGTTGGAGCTAACATTTTGTCAACACACGAAATTTGGTGACTATCTAAATCGTGGATTGTCGGGCGGTGAGAAGAAACGCGCCAATATCGCATGCGAGTTGCTAACCAATCCGCTGCTGATGTTACTAGATGTGAGTATAAATAAGAATTTATATGAATGTAGTATGTGCACTATATGTAGTGTAAAACTTCGTACGTGGTGGTTTTTGTTAAATATTTGCCAGGTTTTTTAAGTAAAGATTTTTTGATATCTTTTTATAAAATTATTGTTCATGCTTTAACCAAAACCACATAAATCAAATTTTCAATTATAGAGATTAGAAAAATTCAAAAAAATTTCACAAAAATGTTGAACTTTTTAATATGAATTTTTATAAAATTTTGGATATGCATTTTTCGGTTTTTATCACAAAACAAGTTGCGTTGATTTTTTTTTTTTAATTTCTTTGTAAGTGTTCTTGCGTATTTTCTTCCAAAAGAAGTTCATGCTTATTTGGAAAAAAGTCCACAGCCGGTTGAAACTTGCACCTTGTCAGACTGAAATTCTATGGGCTATAAACCTGCATATTCAAAAATTTTATGTACGCTCATATTCTCAGATGCCAGAGAGCTTTGCTTAAAGCATAAACCATATTTGTATAAAAAAAACAATAACAAACAAGTTTTAACTTTAAAAACCTAGCAAATATTTAAAAAAAAAACACTGTGTACTCAGTTTTGCACTATAGTGTATGTACGTTTGTGGGGTTGAAAGAAATCAAAACAAACTCGCGTAGCAAATGGAGCAGCTGCCAACACATACATTTAAGCTCATTCAATTTAATGCCGCGTTGGTTGAGCGAGCTTTTACGCTCCCCATACGTGCATACATATGTATGCATCCATGACATATGCATGTAAATACGTATATAGTCCAAAGCTAAGAGCGTACCTCTTTCTTCGGCATGCTCTTAAGCACATTTATAGTTGCATCTCTTAATTTCGAATTTCGCGCAAATTTCAGGAACCAACATCCGGCCTTGATAGTCATTCTGCGATATCGCTCATGAAGTTTCTCAAGCGTTATGCCGTGCAAGAGCAAAAGACTGTGGTGATCACCGTGCATCAGCCTTCTTCGCAAATGTTCCACATGTTCGACAAGCTGTTGCTGCTTTACAACGGTCGAACTGCGTACTTTGGCGAGGTGAATAATATTTATACGTATTTCGAGAATATCGGTGTTATCATTAAACCGCACTACAATCCCGCGGACTTCGTATGTGAGTAATCACTGATGATCATTTTTTTAAATACCTTTTAAACAAACTGCAATTTTTCATTTCTTAGTGGAACAACTGAAGTCATATCCTAAAATCCGCGAGAAGCTGTTCATCGCCGCCAAGGAATCTCATGGCAATTACTTGAATAGAAACTGTATTACGGTGAACACGAACAATGAACGGAATCAGCAGCACCACCACTCCAACAATGTTCGGCATAATGGTGACATCAATGGTGACGCTGCTGATGTCACACCAACGGCCAACATCACCACCACCATCACAACAGAAATTGTCAATGAGAAGTCCCACAAGCATGATGCACTCATCAATGATATTATCAACAACTATTATAAGGGCATACACAAAAATCATAATAATCATCACATCAACCACGATGCCATGCTAATCATAAGTGATCATCAGAACCCCAATGAAGAGGCGTCACAACAGCTGTGGTATGGCCACGATTCGCAATCGAACTCCAGCGTCACTTCAAGTGTGTGCCAGCGTTATGAGAGCTGTGGTGACAACGATTGGCTCGACTATCCGACGAGTTTTCACACGCAGTTCTGTGTATTGTCCAGCCGCAACTACAATGAGGCAAAGCCGCGTATGTTGTCCAAACTAAATTGGTTCCAAACGATCGGTTTGGCATTGATGGCTGGCTCAATTTGGTTTCAAATACCACGCACCGAAGAGTTCCTACACGATCTGCAAGGCTGGATGTTCTTCTCACAGACATACTGGATGCTGTTTGCGCTCTTTGGCGCCTTAAATTCCTGTAAGTTCCTGCAAGAAATATTTAGAAAATAATTCATCTAAATTTGTTGAACTTGTGGCCGTTTTTGATAAAAAAAAAAACTATGGATAAACAAAAACAAGAACTTAATGTCGAGCACAGCTATAGTTAAATCTCTAAAAATATAGCAAATATAGGTTATGAATCAAGTCTAAATAGCACCAAAAAAAAAATAGTTTCGCTTGATTTGTAGTTGGGTTGACAAATGAAAAAGTTGAGAAGGCAACTACAGTTTACATGGCGAGCATAGCTCATTGGGCGGACCACAGCCTCTATAAGCCGGAGTCGCTGGTCCAAATCCCAATGAACTAGATGAAAAGTCTGATGAGGAGATATGGTGATCTACGAAATAGCAGCTATAACTTCAACCATTTGTAAAGCTCAGTAAAATTTTTGAATAAACTTAAATTATTTGGCCAAAAATAGCAAAGCAATATTTATCGTAAAAACTTGTTAATTGATTAGTGAGTGAATTTTTTTCACTTTTAACCGACTTCACAAAAGGAGGAGGTTATCAATTCGTCGGATTTTTTTTTCTTTTATGGCATAACTTTGGACCACGTGAAATGATTTCGATAATACTTGTTTATCGGAAAGATGGTGCCTAAATTGGGTTTAGATCCGATCATTGGATCTTGAAGAAATTAACGTTGCTCCTAAATTTGTATATGATAATTGAATTAGGTTGTGTTTTTTGTTTAAAAAATACTTGTATTTTTTTTTTTATTCTAGTCCCTGCAGAACGCGAAGTTATTAGTAAGGAACGTCGTTCGGGCGCTTACAGGCTATCTGCATATTACTTGGCGAAAATGTTTGGGGAATTGCCTTTGGTTGTGACGCTGCCGACTGTCTACCTCATGATATCCTATCCAATGTTGGGCTGTACCAGGTAAGAGAGCGTTAAATAAAAATAAATAAATTATAACCGCTTTGCTAGTGCTTGGCCGAGCTTCTGCTTCAAATTGTGGTGTGCGCCTTAATGTTGTTACACAAAGGCGAGAGCCGTACATGATTCAATAATTAAAGATTTGCTCAATAGTGACAACAACGTTTTCAGTTTTCCTTACAAAAGGTTGCATTTAAGCAGGATGGACAAAGGGAAAAATTAAATCCCTTTTGAAGAGCACTTTTTTAATTTAATTAAAACAAATTAATGCGAACGGCTTAAAAAGAAACTGAACTTATATTGGAAAATATTTTAAAGTTTTTAGCTTGTGGGCAATATAAATAAATCAATGGTATGTATGGATATACAAATAAATATGTATACGGATCTGTGATACGATAGTTCTTACGGAAATTGCCTAGTGCAATATTAAACCAAACAATCCAAGAAATATATTTTTTGAATTTTTTGAATTTCATCACAAAGCTTTTACGTTAAGCAAATCCGCTCATGCCATTGAAATGAATACTATACAAAATAGGTTTTTAATCTTTTTAAAGAGAATGTAGAACACAGGAAATATTTTTAATATGCATTAATTGTACATGGTAATTTTTGTAAGTTTTTTGTCTTTATTTCTTGGCATTCCATACATAGTTCACAAAATTAAATTACTATTTAAACAACGAATGTATGTACGAAATAAGAAACATATGCTGCAAATGGAACTATAAATAATTTGACAAATAATTGGTCCACTAGGTGGCGCTTAAGTATATGTATAATCAAAAGTTATAAGCTAGACAAACGAGTCGTTGGTATAAGCTAATAACGATATTGTATCGCAAATGTTTGCTGAGCTTGTAATTCAGTTCATTTGGTGCGTGTTGATGTTACACAACGGTAAATACATTTTATGAGAAGCATTTCAACCGCAGAAATATGCGCGGAGGTTTCTAATGTAGATGTTGCCCCGACCAGAGATCGAACGCAGGTCTTCCTGAGTGGTAATAAGCACCTCTAACCAATCAAGTACAGCGGCCCACTTGAAAAACCACCTGTATCTATTTAAATGTATTATTGCTATATTTTAAGCGCTTTTGTTTTAAGTACTTCTTACAGCTTTTTGTTTCTAATCGATCTGTTTAGATTTTTAATTAGCATTCTTGTTTTAAAAAAACAGCTTCTTGACGTCGGCGGTGGCACGTACGTGCTCTGAACACGTAATAAGCCGTTCCAAATAGTGGTCGCAGTTCCGAATAGTTGGGCCGTTGATGTTTTTAAAAACGACCTCCAATCGCTTTATTGCCCCCAAAAAGCTAATGCTTGGCTTCGTTAGGTCTCCTCTGGACACTTCATCTACCCACGTGATGGTAGGCTCATTGGAAACGTGTTCTGTCAATCCCAGTTTTCTAACAATAAATCCCGTGAGAATATCAAACTCCTCTTGTTATTGTAGCTCGTTGGAAAACGCTAGCTCGTCACATAACGCAAACTCCTTTGAAAGCACCTCTTCGTCAGTAAAAAAGCCACTCTGTTGCATTGGCTTCCACATTACCACGAGCAGCAAAACTTGCGCTATTTCGGGCTATTATTAGTTATATATTTCTGAATGTAGTCTTGTTGATAATTGATGTATGTATTTTTAAAGCAATATTACCTAGCAAGTACGGATTATCAAAAAGTCCGCCTTTTGCGCGCATTACCCCAAAAAAGTGCTCGAATATGTCCTGGTTCAGACGGTATGTCAGGATGTATCCCATGTCATACTGGTCCTAGACATACCAAAACATATCCCTGAGCGAGTTGTTGCTTATTATCATACCATTCTGTGTCAGTAGGAACGCTATGTCCACACTTGAAAACGAGTGTCACTGCTCTGGGGCAGAAAAAATAGTAAAACTAACAGGCAAAAAAGCAAACGCACAAGGAAACCTGTAAACAAAACGGTTCACTTGTTAAAAAATGGTATATTGGCCACTTGTTTAAACTTAGCTTAAGTGTGTGTGTGTCAGTAGGAACACTATGTCTGGGCTACATCGGTTGGCGCTGCTCTGTGGCAGGAAAACGTTCAATTGGAAGGGCGATGCACACTTACGACGAATATTTATATATAAAGCGCGGCCCGCTTTTTATGTGTATGCGCTGAGATGAATTACGCTGCAAATGAGGTGTATTACATTTTAGAAATGATTTTTTTTAATTATATTATGGATTATCATAAAATTATTGCAAAACTTACCCAAATTCTCGTAGCCAGTAAATGAAATGTCAGCGAATATAATTTATTAAAACATCAATAATGGCAGTGGTTATGCTACCGAAATGTTTGTTCTACAAATTTTACATTTACTCCACTTTTCACGTAATTTTGAAGAGTTAGCAACCAGTGCCTAGCTAAGGGAGCCTATTTGTTAAGGGGGAGCGAGAAAACTGTTTTTTGAGCAAACCTTTTATTATTGAATCATAATAGACGTACTACTTTATGCCACCTCCGGACGACAGATGATTTAAATGAGAAACTTTTTTCATGCCAGAAATACACTCGGAAGTTGGGCATGCCGAGGGGTGACCACTATTAGAGAAAACACTTTTTTGATGTTGCTCGGAGCAGTGATCGAACCCTGGACCTACCGAGTGACAGAGCGCACCTCTAACCACTCGACGATGGCGAAAGAAAGCGAAAGAGAGAAATATTAATTTGTTTATTCTATTAATAAAGTTAGAAGGAGAAAATTTGAGGATGTGGAGATATTAGGTTCATTCCTTATCTTTTTGGACTAAAATCTGAAAAGTGTCAAAATGCCAGAGCGTAAGCAAACTGTGCTCACTAAAAGAAAATAACAGCAAAAGTAAAGGAACGCAAAAAACCAAATTTTAAGTCCAAAGAATGGCAACAACAAAGCTAACGTCAAATAAGAATGGAAATGTGTGTACAAAACACATTCACACAAGCACAAGCACAATAAACACTTACTATATCAATTATTTTTTGCCTCCTTCCAATTTCAATTCTCACTTTTTTCGTATTCTTTAATTCCTGTTAATTTAAATCAGTTGAGTTTGACACTTTTCAGGATTTTGCCAGAAAAAATTCTTCTGACTAAATCTGACTACTTCGGACTGATGAGAGTCACTCTCACTGAGTGTTGCTATCTCATTTTTGCTGTCATTTCCGAGTTAAGGAACGCTTTTTAGACTAAATCTGACTACTTCGAACTTTTTCTGACTATTTCTGGGAGATAAGGAACGCTCCTATTAGTCATTAACATTTAATTTTTTATTTTTTCAAAAATAACTACTGGAAATCCTCAAATATAAAGTTTTAAAAGCATTAACAATACCTATTCGTCCTTTTGCACAAAAAATAAAAATTTTTTTTCAGTTCTAAAATTTTAACCAACTTCAAAAAAAGGAGAAGGCTATCAATTAGTCGGAATATTTGTACATTTTTTTATGTATATTACCGCATAACTTTGGACCACGTTAACCGATTTCTATAATTATTTTTTCAAAGGAAAGGTGGTCCTATACTAATTAAGTTTGGATCCGATCATTTGATCGTGAAGAAATTAACGATAATCTTAAATTTTTTATGGGAATTGAAATCGGTTTTGTTTTTTGCATAAAAATTACTTGTTCTCTATTATTTCATACCCATATCGTTTTTCTACATTCTACCCTTAACATTTCGCAAACTAAAATGTCGCGATCATTTTTTCTACCCATGATTTTAGAAATAAATCTTCTGCTATTCTGACCAAAAATATTTTGTACTTGAACTTGTCGCCTTAATTTTCTCAGTACTTAAGTTTTCCGATTTTTTTACAGTTGCAAGCTGTTCTTTTTAATGCTGGTCTTCCTGCTACTCAACACAATTGTGGCGCAGAGCGTGGGCTTCTTCATCGGTGCCTGTTGCATGGATATGAATGTTGGCATTACGTTGAGCGCACTCTATACGCTGGCGACACAACTCTTTGGCGGCTATTTATCCACTCGCATTCCAGATGGATTGAGCTGGATACGCTACACCTCAATGATACACTATGCATATCAAAATATGCAAATTTTAGAGTTTCGAGAAGGACCGGCGTTAAGGTGCGTATACTGTCTATTATATTACGTACATATGTACATACCTATGTACATGTCGGCATTGTGTTTGTGATAATCCCATTTTTGGTTCCCCGCAGGTGTGGCAATCCCAGCAGCTTTGAAATCTGCAAAACAAACGACACCACGACGATGTTCATTCCATATCAGGAAATACTCAAGGCACAAAACTCGACATCACCGCTTTGGCTGAACACGCTCGTATTGATGATGTTCTTCGTGGTGTTTCGTGGCCTCGGCTATGCTGTTTTACGTTATGTGCGATGTCCCAAAGCGGCGTGATATTCAAAACTCCAGTGAGCTTAACGAGAGAAAAAACAACAACGCACAATATTAAAAAAAAAAATGTGTGTAAATTTATTGTAAAATTTATTAAACTCATCCCAGAAAGCATTTTTATACAAATATGTTGTACGTGTTTTATGCACTCGTAGTTGATCAAATGTTTCATATATCCGCTGGTGATATGTTTATATTTCCTGTTGAGCATTTTTAAACTAAGAAATGTTGTTTCTGCGTGTTTAATATTTCTTCTTTTTTTTTTTGTGTTAAAGTTTGAGGTACGAAAGTGCGCTCCTGTGCACCTTACTAACAAAAAGTATACAATAATCGTACATACATAAAATATGAAGATGTATTTTAATGTTAATTTTTTCTATTTTTTAAAAAACTTTTTTAAATTAAAATACATATTTTATGGTAAAGCTATTTTAATGAAAATTTTATGTAATAAAATTTTGAAAGCATCACTTTGTAAGGCGAAAGCTCGCTATCGAAAACTTCAAAATGAAAGTAAGCAAAAACAATAAGTAACATTATCCCCATATGAAGCTGTAAAATAAAATAAAACAATTTAAAACTTTAAAAGAATGTAGTATATTCCATAGTATTCAAATACAATAAATGTCAAAGTCAACCTTTTTTCGATTCCTATCTACAAATTACAACTAAGTAGATGTCATACTCTAATAAATATTTCTACAGAAATTAAAAGTAACAGCTACATAACCTACCAATACTAGCATATTCACAAATATAAGTGTGTTTTTGTTTGTTTTTTGAAAATTACTGTGATGTAGTATTCTAGTTTCTGAATTTAATTAATAAATGCACTTCATATGTATACATAAATAAATTACTCATTAAGTTAGATATAGTGGAATGTAAATTTAAACATATTTATATTGAATAAGAAATATGTAGTAGTAGAAATAGTTAACGTTATCACGAAAATTTCCACTATACAAAGTTATGGTATTTACTATATAGTATGTATGTACGCTATAATTTATATCAACAATAAACAACTCTATTAAATATTGTGAATGCTATGTTTTGCGAAAATTTGTATTATATATAATATATTATTAAAAATGTATTATCATCAAATCTTTGGATTTTCACTTTAGGAAAATAATATCACAGCTCACGGCAGTGCGCGCGTCTATGCGACGCCACAATGAAGGTGTTGCGTTTGTAAAAAAAGGTTAGGTTTTATTTATGGCTGCGTAACGTCTAAAATATTTCAACTAGAATTAAATTTTTTTTAAATACATAAATTTCAACTAGAAAGACTAGTAAATCCATTGAAATTTGTTTTGGTTAATAAAGATTATACGTAGCTAAGCTGTACACCACTTTATTTTTGTTTAACAAAGGAAACTATCGGTATACGTAGCTAAGCTTTACATCAGATGTCATGTTTGTATTACTTAAATATAAAAACAGAGATAAATTACAAACTTAGGGCGTTTTCTTTTCTATTAAACAATTTTGCCTTCTTATAAATATTGGAACATTTTCAGTAGGTTGCTTTTTGTCACGCAAAATGGCTATATTACCAGAAAGTATGGCCCTTTTGCTTAGTCGGAGGTCAATATTTTGAGAAATGAACACGTAAAGCTGTGAAAGGACTGAGGAAAACAGGGCAACATTATTTCGAGAAAAGAAAACGCCCTGATACAAAAATAGAAGGTAGTTTAATTTGTTGACATTCGTTGTTATTCCCGACCACTTGACTTTTAATAAGTTTATGACATTTAACTGAAATCATGCCGCCAGATTCACTAGCAGAAAAATTTTTGTTTCTTGAAAAAGTAAAAAAAAAAAAAATTAAGCTGGTGAAGTTGGATGAAAATATTAAAAGCGTTTCCAAACTGCCAGAATTCGATACACCTGAGCAAACGTTCCGAGGATAGGGAACGCAGTACGATCTAATGCAGTTTGATAACAAATTGCTGACGCAAAATATTTTTAAACCTCTAAAAGATATACCGTTATCCGTGGAACAGGGCGCAGGTCGAGTTAAAATGATGCCCTGCAACTTGTAACAGTACTAATTTTTGGATTCTCGATAAAGATGTGGTGCTGCTAAAAAATATATATACAAAAACATAAGCACCAAACTATGTATTTGTGACAAGAATTATCCACATTAAATGAAAACTACTGCAGTTCCATTTTATAAAATTTAAAAAGTATGTTTGCACCATATATTGTCTTCCCAGAGACCCAATAAACATTCGGCTTTGTTAACAATTCGAAAATGATTCGAAAACCAATCTTTTTTCGGGTCTCATTTTCGATAACGAATGTGAAATAGGTTAGTACATGTTCGATTCGAGAATTTGGCCATTCTCCAGCAAAACGGAACCTTCGGAATCTTATGAATTCGAAATCCAGCCCATTATCGAATTGGAATTTTAATGAGAGAGAGTGATTTTCTTATATTTCCCTTCGAGAATAAGCTGGATATGACTTTCTCTCTTGTTACTATGGTTTCCATTTTTTTTCGAACCCATCTTAAGTGTATTTCCAATATACTTACGGTGACCATATTAACCAACGTTAAATAAAGGACGTTTTTTCAAAATTATTTGGGAATACGTACATGCAACTTGTATGATAAAAGTACCTTACCCATATCGTAATTTAAATCAAATATTTACCAGTTAATTATGTTATTTAATTGTACAAGTTCCCCTGCTGTAGCGAAAAATGAAGCCACATCCTTTTTAAGGACTTCGCAATACTTTGCTACCAAAATGCGTTTACCATACCATACTGCACGACGAAGCCAGCACACAGTGGTTCAAAATTGGAATTTAATGTTCATAATTCTCCGGAGCCTTTTTTTATACCCGAGCGCACTTGTGCACAATGGTATATTAATTTGGTTTACATAACGGTTGTTTGTAACAACCAAAACGAATCGAGATAGATATAGACAAATGTATACATAAATGCTCAGAATAAATAGAGAACTCGATTAAGCCATGTCTGTCTGTCCGTCTGTCCGTCCGTCCGTGTACACGATAACTCTAGCAAAAATTGAGATATCTCAACGAAATTTGGTATGTAGGTTTCCGTTAATCCAAGGTAGGTTGGTATTGAAAATGGGCGAAATCAGACAGTAACCACGCCCACTTCCCATATAACGGTAATTTCCAGAAATACGAAAACTGCGATATTTTAGTAACTACTGAAGATAATTCACTCAAAATTGACATTTACAATAATTTCCAGACGAAAAATAAGAATATTATAAATTTTTGGAAAATGGGCGTAGCCACGCCCACTTATGGTTACATGTGTATAACTTGGTAACTGCTGCACCAATTTCTTCCAAACTTGGTACAGTTGTTGGCCTTGATACAGTATCCTAATGCCCGAAAATTTAAAAAATCGGACAATGACACGCCCACATCCCATATAACGGTAATTTAGAGAAATACAAAATCTTCGATAAGTCAGTAAATATTAAAGCTCATTGACGCTTGCAACAATTCTTTACCAAGAAATACGTGTATGGTAAAATTTTGGAAAATGGGCGTGGCACCGCCCACTTATGATGACACATATGTATATCGGTAACCGTTCTACCAATTTGTACCAAACTCGGTATTTTTATTGTGCTTGCCACATAAAAGCAAAACGTTGATTATTATTGAAATTGGATTAAAATTACGGCCGCTTTTCATACAACGGTTAATTTCAGAAATGCTTGAAACTACAATATTTCGAAATTTAAGGACGCTAATTTACTCAAAATTGATACAGCCCGGCTTAGCATCTAGCTTTCGGAAAGGTGAAAAAACATATATTTAATACTTGCGACGGGTATTTAATGTTCGGCTCCACCCGAACATAGACTTTCTTACTTGTTTCAACTAATTTTTACTAAAAACAAAAAAAATTGTTTTGGTAAACATTTTTTATAACATTTCAACATTTATTTGTGTAATTTTTTCGTTTTGGGAGAACCATACAATTGTTTTCAACTAGTTTTTGTTATGTAACATTTGTTAACTGGAAAACGAGAATACATTTTCATCAAAATTGCTACTTTTTCTGCATGTTTCACTAAAAAATTTAATATAATCAAATAAATATTTACACATCGGGCTCAACTGGTCTCTTGCAAATATTATAATCTTTCATTAAAAAATAAAAATTAATCAAATTAAGTCTAACATGAAAGCTCCAGTGAATTACGAACACTAAATGGCAGTTTTGAACCACTGTGCAGCAGGGGTTTATTGTTTTTTTTTTTCAGTGGAATTGGAAACTTAGCGCGCAACACGATCCTGCTTTACAGATTGTACAAAGTTTATCGATTAAATAGAAACCCTTAAGTGGAGGCGAAACAAACTGGCGAAGGCTTTCATTATATTTTGTAAGGGACAGTTTTAGTTTTCATATTCTGTGTTTAAAAATTTACATATGAAAAATGCAGAGCTGATTTAAAGGACAATTTAACAAATAAAGGACAAAAGGCGTCCTTTATTTTGAAAAAAATTATAAGGGACAGGGGGTTAAAATAAAGGACTGTCCTTTAAACTAAAGGACGGATGGTCACCGTAAATATACTATAAACGTTGGAAAACTAAGGTTGGTTATGAGTTGGTTCTCAGTTCGATATTCATATTGGATATCGAAGGTCATTTTCGAACGTTCGCCAAAATGTTTATTGGGGAGTTTGGCTCCACGTGTTCTTTTATTTTCTAAGTGTAGCGAGTAAAACTTCACACTTAAATTTAAGACATTCATAACAAAAATTTTATGAAGAAAATCCTCTACGTCCTCCCAAATATAAACTGGGACGCAAAATTGAAGCAAGTTTTGCCAATTTTTCTTTAGTTTATTTAATGGTTATTATTTTTTATGAATATGTAGCTCATTACTTAACAAACAACATACATATACTACAAACAGATTTCACACTTTGTGTAAAAATCATGAAAACTCTGCAAAATTTCAGCAAAATTTTTAACTTTTTAATCAGCTAAAATGACGCGTCTCAGTTTATATGCATTTGGGTCACTCGCTTAAAACAAAAAACATTGAAATCGGCTCACTATCTGATTGTTTTTTCAATATTATATAACACAGTCCGACATGAAAATTTTCTCAGAGATAAGACTAGCCATTTCTAATACATTTTGGATCACTAAATTTGTAAAAATAAAAACTTGCATATTAGAGTTTTAATAAAATAAGGTGAATAGCAAAATCGGCTAAAAACGGCTAATTTATTTTTTTTGCAAAACGGCTAACAAATCAGCTGCCGGCTAAACTGAATTTTCTCCGCCTATTTGCTATCGCAACCGGCTGCATATTTGGGGTTTAAAGCCCAGCTAGTCTAGACTTAATTTCCGTAACTTAACTTAACTTGATATTTTGGCCGACCTGTTATATGAGAAACTGTATTGGCGGTTAGTTAAAACTTAACTTACCCTAAGAAACTTAAGAACCTGTAGATTTTAGGCTCTTAAGTTACGGCCTTACGGAAATTGAGAGCGGTGAGGGAATCAGGCTTGCCAGACTCTCGTTTTTGTATTTCTTAAAAATAAATGAAAGCAAAAATTTGTGTTTGCATGATTTTTCTTGATGTGGCATTTTAGGCGGCTAACTGTTAAACAGCTGAAAGAGAAAATACAAAAACAAAATATTTCCGCTCTTGGCTTAAGTTGACGTGTTGAGTAGTCATTGATGATTCCTTACGGTAAGTTAAATTAAGTTAAGTCTAGACTAACTGAGCTTTTAGTTTGGGTTTTTAAGTTACGCTCTTACGGAAATTGAGAGCGGTGAGAAAATCAGGCTTGCCAGATTTTAGTTTTTTTACTTCTGAAAGTGTACACTAATTTTAGTATGTCTGTCTAAGAAGTATATCTGTAGGAGGTGCGGACAGGAAGGGCATTATGGTCAAATGCGGCAATGTGTGGTTTTGGACTCGTCTGATTGGGGGGTGAGTTTGGGCGGTTGTTTATTTCTGGCATGTTTACACATGTAGCGAGTAACACACCAGTGGTCATTAGCTTATATGCAAATTCTTCTTCTTCGACGTGGTTCAGCAAGACATCCCAACATTCGTCTGCATATCAAAGCTAGCAGCTGGCTGAAGTATTAGGTGAGGGGGTGATGACCAATGGCGTTGACATGTTGTTTTATAGACCGAGGGATGCCAGTGATATAATCCTAACTCTGGTAGACCGGGCTGAGATGATGGCGTTCCAATTTGGGTGGGAATTCAAGTGAGAATGGGTGTCAGTGATCACAATCCAATTCAAATTGTGATTATTCCACTCTCCTCCCTGACCGTTAGGTTGCGTACCAAATGGGAGGCTGGCGTATAAGCGGAGCGAATTGGAAGCAATACGGGAACTGAAGTTGTTTGGGGGGTTAGTAGTGGGGTTTTTTAGAAACTGGAATCAATTTAAGCGAGTTAAATGGTGGTCCAGACAGCTCTCTGACAAAAGAAAGTCCATCCTGCGTGTAAGGCGTCAGTTCCAACGTGAACGACGTACCGGGGGTTAGGGTCTTTGCCACATAAGTTCTGAATTTTTTCAGGAAATGAGGGAGTATAAGGGATTGCTATAAAGGAAAATAAGATTAATGGAGGTGATTTGTGGGTGTTAATAGGGACGATCCTTGGGGACAGGTCTGTAGGATCTGTTGGGATCGTCGAGGTGAGGATAATACCTCTCTTTGAGTTGGTGATTCAGTGTTATCAACTTGGAGAGAGTGTGCAGGGGCTTTGTTAGGTGCGTCCTTTCCCAAGGCTGATGTTCAGGTTTCTCATGCACAAGAGGCGCCTGTCCCTCCAATAGATGTTGCAGATCTGGGGTATGCATTTGGCTTGGTTAAGTATAGTAAGTCACCAGGTTTTGATGGCTTTAACGAAGAGATGTGCAAATTGTTGTGGAAGTTCACTCCGGAATATCTGGAGGTCATCTATAATAAACGCATATGGGAGAGTTATTTTCCTTTTGAATGTGCTAGAGTCGTTGTTCTCCTGAAGTCGCCCGATAGGGTGGGGAGTAATCGACGATCTTATCGTAGTATCATCTTTCCAGTACTTGAGAAAGTCCTGGAGCGGGTCATAGTTGAGAGCCGTGGTTAAATATAAAAAATTGTGTAAGAAATAGTGCCAGTGAGTATTGTAAGTCGATTTTAAGATGGAGTTTGATTGCTTACGTTGGGATAGAGTCATTGAGCTTTTGCAGAGACTTGCGTGTCCAGAGTTGGTTTTATGGCGTGGCTACATCTCTGGCATACACATGTATATATTTCGTATTTTGTATTTTGTAATGTATAAAAATTTGTACTACGCGGAAAATTTAAGTATCTCGCGAAATGAGCGAAAAAATAAAGTAACTTCCGAAAAGCTGCATAAACACGTATCACTTTTGAAGTAAATGGATCAAAACGGCAACACTGGTGGCCACGTAACGAGCTGCATTTATGAGCAGCTGAGCGGTGCCATACAGACATGCCACCCACCGCTCAGCCGCTCATTGCATGGCCTCCGCCTAAGACAAGCAGCCTTTACTATTCCAAAGATATCCACCGAATGTCTCTGCAAGCGCAAGATCTGCAGGTACTCGCATTAGGACCCGGGCCAACTCCTTTTCCATCCTTGCCCATCGGTGTACATACATGGTTTCCGTTATCCCCGTCTGACTAACATAGGATGTACGATATTTTAAATGCGTACATACATACATATATATGTATGCAAGATTCAATATTTTAGCATAAATAAAGCTTTTGAGTATAACCCCTTTATTTTAAACCTATTTTATATTAGTATAAAGCACAACTTGTTCAGAAAATCCACTTACAATCTGTGATACACTTGATAAAAATTACAGTCAATCTGAGCAAAATTTGTACATTGCTTAATTAAATTAAATTAAAATTCTGAAAAAAATATTTAAAAATGCAATTTAATTTCCTACATGTAAGTACTTATGTATGTAAGTAAGTAAATATCGCTCACAGAGTAACGAGAATCATTATTGCTGCAGAAGTGACTATTTTTCGTCGCATCAATATGTATTATAAGTTCTGTAGGATTTCATCAATACTTTTTCCTTTGGTTTCGGGTACATAAATAATTAGAAATATACAACCTGCAATACAAATTCCACCGAATCCGAAGACCATGCCGTGCATGCCCATAAACTCCGCCATCAATGGCAAGTACTATGTACATACAAAAATAAGAAAAGTAGGCTTACAATTATTTATCCAGTGGGAATGAGAATATCTTTTACGATACTTACTTTTAGCAAGAACACTCCGGTAATCCACATGGTCATCATGCAGGTCATTGAGCCCAAACTGCGTAATTTTAGAGGCATAATTTCCGCAATAACCAAGTATGGCAGCCCCATTAAACCCACGCTCGCAATGAATATTGTGAATGAGAAGCTAAACACTGGTAACCAAGAAAACCCGCTAACCTCGTAGTCGAGCACCTTAAGATATGTGTAGGTGCCGAATATAATGTGGCCCAAAGCTACGCCAGCGGTCGAAATGAGCAGTAAAGCCTAAGATTGTAAATAAAGAAAATTACTCAGTGTCAATTTTTATTTAGTTTAGGCTCACCTTTCTACCAGCGCGTTCCACTAGCAAAGTGGATGTATAAGATCCGAGCAGATGGATCACACCAACAATTATTGTCGATACTATGGGGGAAAGACTTGAACCAGACTCTAAAGATATTGCCAGAATAATTCAACATAGCGAAACAGCCGGAAAACTGCATAAGCGTAATAATTCCAATACCAATCATAAACGCTTTGCGTGTAGTAGGATTATCTGTTTTTTTCGAGTATAGAGTAGGGAATGAAGGTAAATAAATACAACACACGATATAGAAGAAAAATCAAATTCAAGTAATCTCACTTATGTCTTTCCAGGCAAGTGAATTGCTTTCATCTTCAGCATCCTGCTTGCCTTCACCTTTCAGTTTGTCCAATTCGAATTTGAAATCTTCAGGCAACTCATGTGAAAGAGCGCGTATATTGCGATAATATTTCAAAGACTTCTCGGCTTTCTGAAAATGTTAAGAATACATAACCTTAATAAAGCGGCGTTTAAATATATTTACGATGCTGTTAAGGGCATAAAACAGGGATCACACGATTTGAACATTTGTACAGATTCGTACATTTTTACAGTTACAGAGTAGTGTTGTTTGGAAAGTTGTTAATGAGCTGAACTTATTTTTTCTAGACAACACCACTATGTGACTGCCAAAATTTACAAATTTACAAATCGTGTGGATCCCTGCTTAAATTTATATAAACGGGGAGTGTAAATTTTTTTGACGTAGAATACGTCTTGCGTTTCGATATGGAGGCTATGCTCAAATGTTGTAGTTGCAATTTTTAGAGCTTCACGAAAACGCTTATTGCACGAAAACTAATGAAGCGATCTTAAAGAAAGGTGTGGCGTTTCAAAGATAAAATTCCAAACCTATCGACAGATTCACTTTTGTAAGTAACCAATTTGGTTTCTGTCGTAGAAGCAACGGTAAATATCGGCTTATTTTGGGGTAGATTTTGAGCTTTTAAAGTGCTCTAGCAACTTATGATTTGCAAATACATATAAATTTCAATTTCGGGATGTAGGTTTTTTGGAGCAATTGGAACATTATCACGTACAAATTTTATATAAATTCAACAAATGTGACCTGGTCTACGGAAAGGGGGCTTAGGTGTCAAAAAATCAATTTTCACTTTTTGGTTGATTCGGATGGAAGATGAGATGCTTTTTCACGTGGTGAAAAGCAGAAAATCCTAACTTGCTTAGAAGTGTACTAAAAATGTAGAGAAAGAAGAGTAAAAATACGACAAAATATTATTTATTGTTAATGAACAAAATACATTGAATTATAAGCTATAGAGACATGATTATACACTAGAAAAACGTATTATGGGCCAAAAATAATAATGCCGAGTAGTTGTCCGTATACGGCACTGAACTCCTCATCAACACTCATGTTTCATTTCATGCGAAATGCGAAGAGGATAATCAACAGAAACAGTAAACGTCACTTCTTCAGTGTTACTTTTTTAAATGTTCCACACTAGCAACTTACACGATGAACTATAATAATATTCCGACCAACAACAACACTTACTGGACCAACAACAACACTTACTGGATGTCCGGCGCGGAGAACAATTAACGAGATAATGAGAAACTGACGAAACGAGTTGCTTACTTTTAACAGCTTTTTCACAGAAAACTAGTTTTCCGCACGTAAGCTCCCTTTTCGTAGACCAGGTCACAAATATTGAGAATTTGAAGACAAAAAATTGTTGAATAAATTAGCAATTTTTTTTTAATTACAAAAATGCTCGAAAACCGTTGGAATGACTTTGCTTTTGTTTTCTTTAATCAAAAATTCAAGTTTTTTCCTTTCGTGTGGTATATGGGAAGCATTGGTTGATATCTTCGGATCTGTATTTCTTTTAGTAATCTATGTATGTATGTATGTATGTACATACATACGCACACATGAATGAATATCAGATCTGTACCGTTTGTTCATTTTTTTATTTAATTTTCGTTTATTTATTAAATTTGATTGTTTTAAAAAGAGAGATATCGAGCCCTAACCGCCAAAATAACGTAAGCGACATTTTTTTCAAAATTTTATTTTTGATGCATAAATATGCCTTGAGCATCTAGATGCAATACTGCATCAAAAAGAAAATTTTGAAAAAAATGTCGTTTACGTTATTTTGGCGGTTAGGGCTCGAAATGTATATGTTTTTTAATTTAATTTAATTAAAAAAATCTTATTACTAAAAGGCGAACAGCATAACTCTAAGGGCTGGTTTCTCCAACTCAACTTAACTTAGTTAAGCCAATTTTCTTTACTTAGTCAAGAATATTTAAGCTGTGTAAAACGTAGGCTAACTTTTAACTTAAGTCCAAAAAGTGGCTAAACTAAGTTGAGTTGGAGAAACCAGCCCTAAGACTTCCTGGTTAGCAGATCTTTCAATTAGTCTTTCGAATAACAGTAAAGAACTTTCATGGTAGTTGCCATAATTGACAATTGTCTTACTGCCCATATCCACAGGATAAAGTTTATATCTTAATCAGAGCTTTTAAATTTCCATTACGATTAGGAACCATTAATTTTTTTGAATATTTTTAATTTCAATGATTATTTTAATTTATTTATTATTTAATTTATTTTCTTACATAGCCGAAAGGCGATATTAGGCTTAAATTAAAGCTAGAAGTCTCGACTACTATCCCTGCAAATACCATCCCTGCACCTTGACTTGATGGTCACTTATAGCTTAAACAGACGGCAGCGTTGGTGCGGATTAACTCGGACTTAATCCGAGTCAACTGCAGTTAATTCCCGAGTTGATCCGGATCAACGCTGCCGTCAGTTTATGCTTTTATAGTCATTTATTAAACAGCAAAACTTGATTTTGTGCTAAGTTTGAGTACCCACCGCAATTAAACAAAAGGTGATGGAGCCTTCCACTTAGGCTCAAATTAATGCCTGAGCTTTCGACTATAATCTCTTTAAACACCATCCCTGAGCCTAAACCCTAAGGTCATTTATAGTTATTTATTTAACAGCAAAAACTGATTTTGGAAAAAATTTATTTTCTTTTCAATAGCACAATATTCCAGTATTTTTATATTGTTCAATAAATGACTATTAGTGACCATCAGGTTAAGGTGCAGGGATGGTAGCCGAGGGTTATAGCTTTAATTTAAGCCCAAGTGGAAAGTGCTATGTTCTTGTTTTTTGCTAGACCTTCTAAAATATTGCAAAAAACGTGATTTTTTGACACTTTGACCTAATTTTTCTCAAAATCTGGAGCGGATGGAAACTTTATACTTACGGATTCGTAATCAGCACAAAACAGTCTATCAAAAACAGCTTAAATATTTTCCGCAACAAAATCACTGTTGCCTTGTGTTATCTATATATTAATATGCTAACATAAATTTTGTCCGCCTTTGTTTAGCGATTCTACCGAACCGATTTCAAAACCAAGAACACCATTAGAAAGGCATTTTTCCGCAGAGTTTTTATGGTTTCGAAATTGGGTGAAAATTACGGCCAAACCCGTCGTTTAAACATTTCCGTATTTGTGTATAGATGTAGTTGTAACATGTTCAATTTGACATGTTTGAAATAAAGATAAATATGAAGATGAAGAAATAAATGATAACGATAAAGTAAAAAAAAGAAGGCAAAGGTGAAGATAAAGACGAAAATGGAGACAATGAGAAATACATAAGAATTGGGGTAACTGAATTGAAATTTTACGATAGGAATCGAAATAAAATGAGCCATACAAGTTACCGAAATTTATTGAATCATCAAAGTTTATAATTATCGAAATTTATCCCTGCTTATTAAGTTATCGCAACGTATCGAATTATTCAAATTGATCAATGTTTATTAAGTTGTCGAAATGTATAGACACAGAAACTTAGTTATCGAAATTTACGGATAGTTATCGAGCTATCGAAGTAAAGTTAAAGTTGTCAAGTTATCGATATTTATTGAATTATCATTATTTATTGACTTAACGAAATTTATGTCGTAATGCATGGAGTTCTTTCAACTTACAGAGTTATCGATAATTATTGATCTACTGAAATTGGTTGATTCATCGAGTCGAAGTTTATGGAATTTTCAAAGTATATCGATTTATCGAAATCTCAAGGTTATATAAGCTTATCGATTTATCACTGCTTATCGAATTTTATCGTGTTAACAGAGTGTAACGAGTTATCAAAATATTTCGAAAGCTTTCCAAAAATTTGGAGCTGTCAAAAATAAAAATTTATAAAGGTATCCAAAAAATTTACGTTTGAAATTTATCGAGCCCTCGAATTTCACAGTTATCGAAATTGGTCGAGTCAACGAATTTTGCTGAGTTATCGGATTTTAGTATTTTTGAAATTCATCGAAATATCGATATGTATCAAATCATTGAAATTTATCGATAAACTGGAATGTATCTGATCAATTGCAAGCCCTGCTGATGTCCTCCAAAGACCTTGTAAGATAAAACAAAATTTAGTTACGTTTAAGTTCCAAAGCAGAAGATTTTCCGGTAAGTTTGTACCGTATAAGTTTTGCTACGTGTTAAGTTAGAAAACCTCTCCAAGGCTCCTAAAAACTAGAAAAACTGTCGAATTTCGACAGTAATTGGCGCTCTAGTTAATCATTTAAAAATGTGCAAATAATGGTCTTTAATCATTAAAAGTTTACCCAAAATAAACCTGCATTAATTGATAATCATTATGATTATTAATCATTATTTACAGGCTTGATCTTTATCCATATGTTAGAATATATATAGCCAATGGAGACCGCTTATTGTTCTTCAAGGGCAATATATATCTTGCCATCTATTGCCGGAAATTTGGTAGTTTGACAGTTACATTTTTGGCTGGTTTTCACTATGTCAAATTCAGTGGCATTTGTCGTCAAATAAGTGAAAACACATTGTCAAATGAGATCAAAAAGCGGTTTATCGATTGATTTGGATCAGGATAGGTCTTTAGCCGTGTACATGCGCTTCGAAATCGGCTACATATATGTCAGTTTTTGGCACATAATATCATTGGAAAAGGTATGGATAAAGGAGATAAAGTTGTGTCAAAATATGTCGCCAAATTTTGGTGTCAAAATATGACATAGTGAAAACCAGTCTTTACAAATGCTTTTATGAAGATATAAAAAACCCACACACAAATATTGCCACTGATATAACTTATATGGAGCAACCAAAATGACAGCTGGACAGCAATAAATTTTATCTTACGATCAAACTTTCATAGTTGCTAGATGCCTTGATAAGTACTTACTTTAATTTTGTTATTATTTATTAGATGCTGTGGTGTTTCCGGCAGGAAAGAGAAACACAGCAGGAACACAAAACTCAGCGATGATAGAATCCAAGCAACCTCACGGTATGTGAAGAAGTACGCCAGCACAAAAGCACAGAGTATACCGAAATTGAATGTTAATATCAACCATACCATAGGCATACTCACTGATCTTGCGCCAACTCGGTGGTATAGATGGGAACTACGGTAAAAATGCCACCTCCAGCAAATCCGCCAAACACACGTGCAATACATAGGTGTGTAGGTGTGGTGGCAAACGGTATAATTAGCCAGCCAGCCTATAAAAACAAATTTACTTCAATTAAGCTAAGATTTATATTTAATGCAGAATTTCTTAAAAAATACGCTAGATAAAAAAATTGCTTTTTAAAATATAGTTTAAACCTTTCGGAATCATAAGCCAACGTACTTATATTTGCAATGCTTTGAAGCTAAATACTCGCACTTAAAAACATTTTCCAACAAAAACGTGTTTTTTTTATTCAAATTTTTTTTATTTTTATACCCGAGCGCACTTGTGCACAAGGGTATATTAATTTTGTTCACATAACGGTTGTTTGTAACAGCCAAAACGAATCGAGATAGATATAGACAAATGTATACATAAATGCTCAGAACGAATAGAGAAATCGATTAAGCCATGTCTGTCTGTCCGTCCGTCTGTCTGTCCGTCCGTCCAAAAATTGAGATATCTCAACGAAATTTGGTGTGTAGGTTTCCGTTAATCCAAGGTAGGTTGGTATTGAAAATGGGCGAAATCGGACTGTAACCACGCCCACTTCCCATATAACGGTAATTTCCAGAAATACGAAAACTGCGATATTTTAGTAACTACTGAAGATAATTCACTCAAAATTGACATTTACAATAATTTTCAGACGAAAAATAAGAATATTATAAATTTTTGGAAAATGGGCGTAGCCGCGCCCGGCTTACCATCTAGCGGTAGCTTTCGGAAAGGTGAAAAAGCATATATTTAATACTTGCGCCGGGTATTTAATGTTCGGCTCCACCCGAACTTAGACTTTCTTACTGGTTTTGTATAACAATGGTCGTACAGTCAAATTACGTTCGAAAATTGGTAAACTAAAGACTGTGTTCATGTTTATCATTTGTTTTTTTTATTTTGTTTTTAAATACTGCAGGAAATGTAAAACTTGATTCGGGCTGTGGAATCGCCGCCATCTTGAAAACAAAGATTGGCAACGTTTTTTAAAATTTTATGTTTAACATTTTTGTGGAACGTCGTTAACCTCACACTGCCACTTTTTTGTAAAACTGGGTCGAAAAAACCATTTCAGGTTAAAAGGTTAAAATGTGCTAGGAAAAAATGGTTACTAAATTTTACTACAGATTCCTTAAGATAAAAATTAGATTCGAAACCGTTTTACATATTTCGTAATTTGACTGTACTTCAAACGAACCGCCAAAAATGAGATTAAATTCAAATCGGCATAAGAGTGAAAGTAAATCCTCAAAATTTTGATTTTGATTTTCCAAAGCTTAAAATTTTATCACTGATTGCATTCTCTGCAGGACATATAAGTACAAAAGATATCTTGCTGAAAAGTATACTCACCAAGGATGGTAACGCCACCATCAGCAGGCATTTCTTTCGGCCATAACGATCGGCAAACCACGAACAGAACATCGTACCCAAAGCGCCACCTACGTACACCATAGACCCCACCCATCCGGTGTCAGAGTTCGACATGGGGCCCGTTTCGAGTGGGCTTTCATCTGATTGTAGTTGTAAGAAACTTGCAGATGGCCAACCACAGAAGCCTCCATATGATATAGTGATAATATTCACTGTTGATGAAGTGAAGAGAAAGAAAAGAAGAAGATAATGCAAAGTCAAATACTGTAGTTTATTCTAGCACAAATAAAGACTACTAGGCTTATAATGTAAGCAAGATAAATATATCGTTGGGAGGTATATGTAGATACATATTTTAAAAGGGATTTAGAAATATCATAAAGCGCTTAGTATGTTGAAAGAAGTAAATAAGTAAAAAATGAAAAAAATGCGGTGATAAAATCTTAATGGCCGCACTCATTTGAAAAATAACGATGTCTCATGAACAAATATGTAGGCTGTTTTAAATTAGCTTTTGTTGGGGTGGTTAATTGCATGAGATAAAAGTAATTCACAAATAAATTATTGCATTAGGCACTCCGCACATTCTGCGGCTAATCATAGTAGAGTAATTGTTTCGTCATGCCGAAACGAACGCATGATTAGGCGCAAACGTGATTATGAATCGTAATATACAGAGCTTCATTGAAATACATGTGTCCGGCATAAAAGCTTTGCATTTTAGTATGCCGGAACGATTACACTACTATGACTAGACGCTTAATGTGCGGGGTCCCTTATAGTTGTGAAACTTATGTATGATTTTGATGTCAACCTTAACTAAATAATTTAAAGTATTTTTACTTCAAGTAGTACATACATATAAACCATTCGTACTTTTAAAAATACTGTTTATGGGGTTTAACAGCTTAGAAAATTTAGATAAAACGTAAGTGGTAATATGAGAAAAACGTAGATAATTATGAAGGTTATTCTTCAATCTTAGTTATTTATTTAGAAATGCATTTCTGCAATCGGTGTTGCAGCGGTCTTAAGCCATAAAGTTGACGGTCGAATTTATTCTGTTTTCTATAAATTCAAATATTTTCGTCCAAACGACGCGACGTAAACATTTTTGTTCTTATTTCCTAATCTTTCTTCGTTTTGCTTAATTTTTTCTACAATTCCTATCAAACGAAAGTAACAACAAAAAATTAAGTTTCATGAACTATGTGGAAGTTTAAATCTACACTCTAGTCTATTATGATCTCGTGAACTGAAGGAACGTAAAGAACTTTTATTTCCGACCGCTTCACACCTGAAACATGACAAAATTTGATTTCCCTTCTTAAAGTGTCTTATTTGAACGCATCCAGAGGCGCATAGTGGAAAAAATCTTGTGTAAAAATAAGCTGCCTACTCGATTATTCCTTTTTAAAAAGGTGCATTATTCATTTTAGTGTTAGGAGATGCTGGGGCTTTTTTTAGTATTCGTAAAAAATATAACAAATTCAGACCAAAGGTCGATTCCTGATCCCAGCAACATGGACGTTGTTGTGTGTTGTTGAGTTTGACAGCTAATGTATCAATACGTTCAGAAGACGCATTACGATCACTGATTTTTTAGCAACGGTCGCGCTCAACTGCTGCGCCTTCTGAACCTACCCATTGTGCCATGATTTGTTACAATTTTTGTAAAGTTCCTTACGAAACTTCCAATTGCTCTTAATTTAACTTCCATTTTTTTCAGATTTACAGTTTTGGTGTATTCAAACTAAAAAAAAGCACCAAAAAATGTTCGCGTTTTGAATTAAGAAAAGCACTAAATTTAGTGCGAAAAGCACCAAGTTGGCAACAGTTCTTACGGGGTTTAAGTTATTTGCAATTTTAGTACCACCTTGTCCGGGTAAAGTGATGTGGATGCATGCAATACACAGCAGAAACGAAATAGTGAAATTCAATTTTTATGTTTTGTGAGAGTGTATTATAGTTACGGTGACCATCTGTACTTTATTTCAAAGGACAGTCACTTTTCTCATGATGGTGTCCTTTGACTTTATTTATTTTTCCAAAAATCTACTTGTCCTTTTTTTGATACGTGCCAGACATTAATGCATTTATATATTACAAAATATATAATACAAACAAGTTGGAATGATCATCCTTGTCATCTAGAGCAGAGCTTCCTAAAGTGGGTTCCGCGGAACCCAAGATTTCCTTAGAAAAGTCACCGGCGTTCCGCGAAATTAATTTTGGTATGAATAAGCACGGCGGTCGGTTTGAGTTGCACACAGAAAGAAAAG